GAGGTAAGGTGAGTAGTTGAGGGAGGTAAGGTGAGTAGTTGAGGGAGGTAAGGCGAGTAGTTGAGGGAGGTAAGGTGAGTAGTTGAGGGAGGTAAGGCGAGTAGTTGAGGGAGGTAAGGTGAGTAGTTGAGGGAGGTAAGGCGAGTAGTTGAGGGAGGTAAGGCGAGTAGTTGAGGGAGGTAAGGTGAGTACTTGAGGGAGGTAAGGCAAGTAGTTGAGGGAGAGGGAGGTAAGGCGAGTAGTTGAGGGAGGTAAGGCGAGTAGTTGAGGGAGGTAAGGCGAGTAGTTGAGGGAGGTTAGGCGAGTAGTTGAGGGAGGTAAGGCGAGTAGTTGAGGGAGGTAAGGCGAGTAGTTGAAGGAGGTAAGGCGAGTAGTTGAGGGAGGTAAGGCGAGTAGTTGAGGGAGGTAAGGCGAGTAGTTGAGGGAGGTAAGGCGAGTAGTTGAGGGAGGTAAGGCGAGTAGTTGAGGGAGGTAAGGCGAGTAGTTGAGGGAGGTAAGGCGAGTAGTTGAGGGAGGTAAGGCGAGTAGTTGAGGAAAGTAAGGCGAGTAGTTGAGGGAGGTAAGGCGAGTAGTTGAGGGAGGTAAGGCGAGTAGTTGAGGGAGGTTAGGCGAGTAGTTGAGGGAGGTAAGGCGAGTAGTTGAGGGAGGTAAGGCGAGTAGTTGAAGGAGGTAAGGTGAGTAGTTAAAGGAGGTAAGGTGAGTAGTTGAGGGAGGTAAGGCAAGTAGTTGAGGGAGGTAATGTGAGTAGTTGAGGGAGGTAAGGTGAGTAGTTGAGGGAGGTAAGGTGAGTAGTTAGGGGAGGTAAGGCGAGTGGTTGAGGAAAGTAAGGTGAGTAGTTGAGGGAGGTAAGGTGAGTAGTTGAGGGTGGTAAGGCGAGTAGTTGAGGGAGGTAAGGTGAGTAGTTGGGGGAGGTGAGGTGAGTAGTAGGGGGAGGTAAGGTGAGTAGTTGGGTGAGTTGAGTAGTTGAGGGAGGTAAGGTGAGTAGTTGAGGGAGGTAAGGTGAGTAGTTGAGGGAGGTAAGGTGAGTAGTTGAGGGAGGTAAGGTGAGTAGTTGAGGGAGGTAAGGCGAGTAGTTGAGGGAGGTAAGGTGAGTAGTTGAGGGAGGTAAGGTGAGTAGTTGAGGAAGGTAAGGCGAGTAGTTGAGGGAGGTAAGGTGAGTAGTTAGTGGAGGTAAGGCGAGTGGTTGAGGAAAGTAAGGCGAGTAGTTGGGGGAGGTGAGGCGAGTAGTTGGGGGAGGTGAGGTGAGTAGTTGAGGGAGGTAAGGTGAGTAGTTGAGGGAGGTAACGTGAGTAGTTGAGGGAGGTAAGGCGAGTAGTTGGGCGAGGTGAGTAGTTGAGGGAGGTAAGGTGAGTAGTTGAGGAAAGTAAGGTGAGTAGTTGGGGGAGGTGAGGTGAGTAGTTGAGGGAGGTAAGGTGAGTAGTTGAGGGAGGTAAGGTGAGTAGTTGAGTGAGGTAAGGTGAGTAGTTGAGGGAGGTAAGGCGAGTAGTTGAGGGAGGTAAGGTGAGTAGTTGAGGGAGGTAAGGTGAGTAGTTGAGGGAGGTAAGGCGAGTAGTTTGAGGAGAGTAAGGAGGGAGTAAGTGAGTAGAGGGAGGTAAGGTGAGTAGTTGGAGGAGGTAAGGTGAGTAGTCGAGGGAGGTAAGGTGAGTAGTTGAGAGAGGTAAGGTGAGTAGTTGAGAAAGGTAAGGTGAGTAGTTGGGGGAGATAAGGTGAGTAGTTGGGGGAGGTAAGGTGAGTAGTTGAGGGAGGTAAGGTGAGTAGTTGAGGGAGGTAAGGTGAGTAGTTGAGGGAGGTAAGGTGAGTAGTTGAGGGAGGTAAGGTGAGTAGTTGAGGGAGGTAAGGTGAGTAGTTGAGGGAGGTAAGGTGAGTAGTTGAGGGAGGTAAGGTGAGTAGTTGAGGGAGGTAAGGTGAGTAGTTGAGGGAGGTAAGGTGAGTAGTTGAGGGAGGTAAGGCGAGTAGTTGAGGGAGGTAAGGCGAGTAGTTGAGGGAGGTAAGGCGAGTAGTTGAGGGAGGTAAGGTGAGTAGTTGAGGAAGGTAAGGCGAGTAGTTGAGGGAGGTAAGGTGAGTAGTTGGAGGAGGTAAGGTGAGTAGTCGAGGGAGGTAAGGTGAATAGTTGAGAGAGGTAAGGTGAGTAGTTGAGAAAGGTAAGGTGAGTAGTTGGAGGAGGTAAGGTGAGTAGTCGAGGGAGGTAAGGTGAGTAGTGGAGAGAGGTAAGGTGAGTAGTTGAGAAAGGTAAGGTGAGTAGTTGAGAAAGGTAAGGCGAGTAGTTGAGGGAGGTAAGGCGAGTAGTTGAGGGAGGTAAGGCGAGTAGTTGAGGGAGGTAAGGCGAGTAGTTGAGGGAGGTAAGGTGAGTAGTTGAGGGAGGTAAGGTGAGTAGTTGAGGGAGGTAAGGCGAGTAGTTGAGGGAGGTAAGGCGAGTAGTTGAGGGAGGTAAGGCTAGTAGTTGAGGGAGGTAAGGTGAGTAGTTGAGGGAGGTAAGGCGAGTAGTTGAGGGAGGTAAGGTGAGTAGTTGAGGGAGGTATGGTGTGTTGTTGAGGGAGGTAAGGCGAGTAGTCGAGGGAGGTAAGGTGAGTAGTCAAGGGAGGTAAGGTGTGTAGTTGAGAGAGGTAAGGTGAGTAGTTGAGAAAGGTAAGGTGAGTAGTTGGGGGAGATAAGGTGAGTAGTTGGGGGAGGTAAGGTGAGTAGTTGAGGGAGGTAAGGTGAGTGGTTAGAGGAGGTAAGTTGAGTAGTTAGAGGTGTTACCTTCTAAGTTTGAGTACGTCTGTCTAAGAAGCCAGTAACCAACAGTCTGCACATAGAATGCCAGGTCTGTAAAATAGATGTGAGTTCTGGAACAAGACCAAAGTACAGAAATGGACAAACAACCAACATGTTTGCCTGGAGCTGACATTAATTTCAGGGAACATGTTGCTGTTGGGTGGGTTTCAACAGTTGATAGAACTTTCTTTCCATCTACAGTTCTGACTAACACTTGATAGATACTTTCTTTCCATCTACAGTTCTGACTAACACTTGATAGATACTTTCTTTCCATCTACAGTTCTGACTTGATAGATACTTTCTTTCCATCTACAGTTCTGACTAACACTTGATAGATACTTTCTTTCCATCTACAGTTCTGACTAACACTTGATAGATACTTTCTTTCCATCTACAGTTCTGACTAACACTTGATAGATACTTTCTTTCCATCTACAGTTCTGACTAACACTTGATAGATACTTTCTTTCCATCTACAGTTCTGACTAACACTTGATAGATACTTTCTTTCCATCTACAGTTCTGACTAACACTTGATAGATACTTTCTTTCCATCTACAGTTCTGACTAACACTTGATAGATACTTTCTTTCCATCTACAGTTCTGACTAACACTTGATAGATACTTTCTTTCCATCTACAGTTCTGACTAACACTTGATAGAACTTTCTTTCCATCTACAGTTCTGACTAACACTTGATAGATACTTTCTTTCCATCTACAGTTCTGACTAACACTTGATAGATACTTTCTTTCCATCTACAGTTCTGACTAACACTTGATAGATACTTTTCTTTCCATCTACAGTTCTGACTAACACTTGATAGATACTTTCTTTCCATCTACAGTTCTGACTAACACTTGATAGATACTTTCTTTCCATCTACAGTTCTGACTAACACTTGATAGATCCATCTACAGTTCTGACTAACACTATCTACAGTTCTGACTAACACTTGATAGATACTTTCTTTCCATCTACAGTTCTGACTAACACTTGATAGATACTTTCTTTCCATCTACAGTTCTGACTAACACTTGATAGATACTTTCTTTCCATCTACAGTTCTGACTAACACTTGATAGATACTTTCTTTCCATCTACAGTTCTGACTAACACTTGATAGATACTTTCTTTCCATCTACAGTTCTGACTAACACTTGATAGATACTTTCTTTCCATCTACAGTTCTGACTAACACTTGATAGATACTTTCTTTCCATCTACAGTTCTGACTAACACTTGATAGATACTTTCTTTCCATCTACAGTTCTGACTAACACTTGATAGATACTTTCTTTCCATCTACAGTTCTGACTAACACTTGATAGATACTTTCTCCCCTCCTTTGCAGCGTGATTCACGCGGTGTTCTGACTAACACTTGATAGATACTTTCTTTCCATCTACAGTTCTGACTAACACTTGATAGATACTTTCTTTCTATCTACAGTTCACACACTTGATAGATACTTTCTTCCGTTGACAGCTAGAAAGTGTCTGCTGGTACAGTTCTTGGTCGGACGGGAGCCTTTACACTCATGTCTAGCAACACTTGCCCAACAGTGGTGTTACATTCATCTCTAGTGACACACAGTGTGCCCGACATGGTTACATTCATCTCTAGTACACACAGTGTGCCAGACATGGTTACATTCATCTCTAGTACACACGGTGCCCGACATGGTTACATTCATCTCTAGTACACACAGTGTGCCCGACATGGTTACACATCTCAGTCAGTGTAGTCATCTCTAGTACACAGTGTGCCCGACATGGTTACATTCATCTCTAGTACACACAGTGTGCCCGACATGGTTACATTCATCTCTAGTACACACAGTGTGCCCGACATGGTTACATTCATCTCTAGTACACACAGTGTGCCCGACATGGTTACATTCATCTCTAGTACACACAGTGTGCCCGACATGGTTACATTCATCTCTAGTACACACAGTGTGCCCGACATGGTTACATTCATCTCTAGTACACACAGTGTGCCCGACATGGTTACATTCATCTCTAGTACACACAGTGTGCCCGACATGGTTACATTCATCTCTAGTACACACAGTGTGCCCGACATGGTTACATTCATCTCTAGTACACACAGTGTGCCCGACATGGTTACATTCATCTCTAGTACACACAGTGTGCCCGACATGGTTACATTCATCTCTAGTACACACAGTGTGCCCGACATGGTTACATTCATCTCTAGTACACACAGTGTGCCCGACATGGTTACATTCATCTCTAGTACACACAGTGTGCCCGACGTGGTTACATTCATCTCTAGTACACACAGTGTGCCCGACGTGGTTACATTCATCTCTAGTACAGTGTGCCCGACGTGGTTACATTCATCTCTAGTACACACAGTGTGCCCGACGTGGTTACATTCATCTCTAGTACACACAGTGTGCCCGACATGGGTTACATTCATCTCTAGTACACACAGTGTGCCCGACATGGTTACATTCATCTCTAGTACACACAGTGGCCCGACATGGTTACATTCATCTCTAGTACACACAGTGTGCCCGACATGGTTACATTCATCTCTAGTACACACAGTGTGCCCGACATGGTTACATTCATCTCTAGTACACACAGTGTGCCCGACATGGTTACATTCATCTCTAGTACACACAGTGTGCCCGACATGGTTACATTCATCTCTAGTACACACAGTGTGCCCGACATGGTTACATTCATCTCTAGTACACACAGTGTGCCCGACGTGGTTACATTCATCTCTAGTACACACAGTGTGCCCGACATGGTTACATTCATCTCTAGTACACACAGTGTGCCCGACATGGTTACATTCATCTCTAGTACACACAGTGTGCCCGACATGGTTACATTCATCTCTAGTACACACAGTGTGCCCGACATGGTTACATTCATCTCTAGTACACACAGTGTGCCCGACATGGTTACATTCATCTCTAGTACACACAGTGTGCCCGACATGGTTACATTCATCTCTAGTACACACAGTGTGCCCGACATGGTTACATTCATCTCTAGTACACACAGTGTGCCCGACATGGTTACATTCATCTCTAGTACACACAGTGTGCCCGACATGGTTACATTCATCTCTAGTACACACAGTGTGCCCGACATGGTTACATTCATCTCTAGTACACACAGTGTGCCCGACATGGTTACATTCATCTCTAGTACACACAGTGTGCCCGACATGGTTACATTCATCTCTAGTACACACAGTGTGCCCGACATGGTTACATTCATCTCTAGTACACACAGTGTGCCCGACATGGTTACATTCATCTCTAGTACACACACAGTGTGCCCGACATGGTTACATTCATCTCTAGTACAGTACACACAGTGCCCGACATGGTTACATTCATCTCTAGTACACACAGTGTGCCCGACATGGTTACATTCATCTCTAGTACACACAGTGTGCCCGACATGGTTACATTCATCTCTAGTACACACAGTGTGCCCGTTGACAGCTAGAAAGTGTCTGCTGGTTGGTCGGAGCGGAAGCCTTCCTGTCTGCAACACTTGCAAAGTGGTGCGGACGGATGGGATCTAGTCCAGTTAGTCAGTAAATAAAACCAGACTATCGTCCAGTGAACGGGCCACCATTAAACGAGACTACACGTCTAGTGATTGGGCCACCAATAAACGAGACCAGACTAACATCCAGTGAAGGGGCCACCAATAAACGAGACCAGACTAACGTCTAGTGAATGAGCCACCAATAAACGAGACCAGACTAGCATCCAGTGAACAGGTCACCAATAAACAAGACCAGACTAACATCCAGTGAACAGGTCACCAATAAACGAGACCAGACCAACGTCCAGTGAATGAGTCACCAATGGACGAGAAAAGTCTAACGTCCAGTCAATTAGCCACGAATAAACGAGACCGGACTATGGTCTCACACAGAGAGACAAACCTGCCTCATTCACATCCCACCAGCTTTCGTCATTGGACACACAGAAAAACTTCGCAAGTGTTGTACAGTAGTGCTGACACAAGTGTTGTACAGTAGTGCTGACACAAGTGTTGTACAGTAGTGCTGACACAAGTGTTGTACAGTAGTGCTGACACAAGTGTTGTACAGTAGTGCTGACACAAGTGTTGTACAGTAGTGCTGACACAAGTGTTGTACAGTAGTGCTGACACAAGTGTTGGACAGTAGTGCTGACACAAGTGTTGGACAGTAGTGCTGACACAAGTGTTGTACAGTAGTGCTGACACAAGTGTTGTACAGTAGTGCTGACACAAGTGTTGTACAGTAGTGCTGACACAAGTGTTGTACAGTAGTGCTGACACAAGTGTTGTACAGTAGTGCTGACACAAGTGTTGTACAGTAGTGCTGACACAAGTGTTGTACAGTAGTGCTGACACAAGTGTTGTACAGTGGTGCTGACACAAGTGTTGTACAGTGGTGCTGACACAAGTGTTGTACAGTGGTGCTGACACAAGTGTTGTACAGTGGTGCTGACACAAGTGTTGTACAGTGGTGCTGACACAAGTGTTGTACAGTGGTGCTGACACAAGTGTTGTACAGTGGTGCTGACACAAGTGTTGTACAGTGGTGCTGACACAAGTGTTGTACAGTGGTGCTGACACAAGTGTTGTACAGTAGTGCTGACACAAGTGTTGTACAGTAGTGCTGACACAAGTGTTGTACAGTAGTGCTGACACAAGTGTTGTACTGTAGTGCTGACACAAGTGTTGTACAGTAGTGCTGACACAAGTGTTGTACAGTAGTGCTGACACAAGTGTTGTACAGTAGTGCTGACACAAGTGTTGTACAGTAGTGCTGACACAAGTGTTGTACAGTAGTGCTGACACAAGTGTTGTACAGTGGTGCTGACACAAGTGTTGTACAGTAGTGCTGACACAAGTGTTGTACAGTAGTGCTGACACAAGTGTTGGACAGTAGTGCTGACACAAGTGTTGGACAGTAGTGCTGACACAAGTCTTGTACAGTGGTGCTGACACAAGTGTTGTACAGTAGTGCTGACACAAGTGTTGTACAGTAGTGCTGACACAAGTGTTGTACAGTAGTGCTGACACAAGTGTTGTACAGTAGTGCTGACACAAGTGTTGGACAGTAGTGCTGACACAAGTGTTGTACAGTAGTGCTGACACAAGTGTTGTACAGTGGTGCTGACACAAGTGTTGTACAGTAGTGCTGACATAGTGCTGACACAAGTGTTGGACAGTAGTGCTGACACAAGTGTTGTACAGTAGTGCTGACACAAGTGTTGTACAGTAGTGCTGACACAAGTGTTGTACAGTAGTGCTGACACAAGTGTTGAACAGTAGTGCTGAAACAAGTGTTGGACAGTAGTGCTGACACAAGTGTTGTACAGTAGTGCTGACACAAGTGTTGTACAGTAGTGCTGACACAAGTGTTGGACAGTAGTGCTGACACAAGTGTTGGACAGTAGTGCTGACACAAGTGTTGTACAGTAGTGCTGAAACAAGTGTTGTACAGTAGTGCTGACACAAGTGTTGTACAGTAGTGCTGAAACAAGTGATCCGTAAATAGTGCCGAGACTGCGTTCCGCCAGACAGAGTATAGACGAACGGACGAACGAACGTTTAAGAGTAACAAAGCACATTGTTGACGAGTCGCTGCCAGAGAGACAGGCGAATATCGTGTTATATTGAGAGTACACTCAAGAGTAATATAGTACATTGTTGACTAGTCGCTACCAGAGAGACTGGCGAATATCGTGTGATAGAGAGAGTACACTCAAGAGTAATATAGCACATTGTTGAGTCGCTGCCAGAGAGACAGGCGAATATCGTGTGATAGAGAGAGTACACTCAAAAGTAATATAGCACATTGTTGAGTCGCTGCCAGAGAAACAGGCGAATATCGTGTGATAGAGAGAGTACACTCAAGAGTAATATAGCACATTGTTGAGTCGCTGCCAGAGAGACAGACGAATATCGTGTGATAGAGAGAGTACACTCAAGAGTAATATAGCACATTGTTGAGTCGCTGCCAGAGAGACAGACGAATATCGTGTGATAGAGAGAGTACACTTAAAAGTAATATAGCACATTGTTGAGTCGCTGCCAGAGAGACAGACGAATATCGTGTGATAGAGAGAGTACACTCAAAAGTAATATAGCACATTGTTGAGTCGCTGCCAGAGAGACAGGCGAATATCGTGTGATAGAGAGAGTACACTCAAAAGTAATATAGCACATTGTTGAGTCGCTGCCAGAGAAACAGACGAATATCGTGTGATAGAGAGAGTACACTCAAGAGTAATATAGCACATTGTTGAGTCGCTGCCAGAGAGACAGACGAATATCGTGTGATAGAGAGAGTACACTCAAAAGTAATATAGCACATTGTTGAGTCGCTGCCAGAGAGACAGACGAATATCGTGTGATAGAGAGAGTACACTCAAGAGTAATATAGCACATTGTTGAGTCGCTGCCAGAGAAACAGACAAATATCGTGTGATAGAGAGAGTACACTCAAAAGTAATATAGCACATTGTTGAGTCGCTGCCAGAGAAACAGACGAATATCGTGTGATAGAGAGAGTACACTCAAAAGTAATATAGCACATTGTTGAGTCGCTGCCAGAGAAACAGACGAATATCGTGTGATAGAGAGAGTACACTCAAGAGTAATATAGCACATTGTTGAGTCGCTGCCAGAGAAACAGACGAATATCGTGTGATAGAGAGAGTACACTCAAAAGTAATATAGCACATTGTTGAGTCGCTGCCAGAGAAACAGACGAATATCGTGTGATAGAGAGAGTACACTCAAGAGTAATATAGCACATTGTTGAGTCGCTGCCAGAGAAACAGACGAATATCGTGTGATAGAGAGAGTACACTCAGAAGTAATATAGCACATTGTTGACGAGTCACTACCAGAGAGACAGGCGAATATCGTGTTATATTGAGAGTACAGTCAAGAGTAACCTAGCACATGGCTGACGAGTCGCTGCCAGAGAAACAGACGAATATCGTGTGATAGAGAGAGTACACTCAAAAGTAATATAGCACATTGTTGAGTCGCTGCCAGAGAGACAGACGAATATCGTGTGATAGAGAGAGTACACTCAAGAGTAATATAGCACATTGTTGAGTCGCTGCCAGAGAAACAGACAAATATCGTGTGATAGAGAGAGTACACTCAAAAGTAATATAGCACATTGTTGAGTCGCTGCCAGAGAAACAGACGAATATCGTGTGATAGAGAGAGTACACTCAAAAGTAATATAGCACATTGTTGAGTCGCTTCCAGAGAAACAGACGAATATCGTGTGATAGAGAGAGTACACTCAAGAGTAATATAGCACATTGTTGAGTCGCTGCCAGAGAAACAGACGAATATCGTGTGATAGAGAGAGTACACTCAAAAGTAATATAGCACATTGTTGAGTCGCTGCCAGAGAAACAGACGAATATCGTGTGATAGAGAGAGTACACTCAAGAGTAATATAGCACATTGTTGAGTCGCTGCCAGAGAAACAGACGAATATCGTGTGATAGAGAGAGTACACTCAGAAGTAATATAGCACATTGTTGACGAGTCACTACCAGAGAGACAGGCGAATATCGTGTTATATTGAGAGTACAGTCAAGAGTAACCTAGCACATGGCTGACGAGTCGCTGCCAGAGAAACAGACAAGTGAGGGGAAGATGCTCATCCCCAGATTGCTGTAGCATCCATGCAGTGATTGTGGCCCGGGCGGATACTGGAACACTGCGGCGCCAGATTGGGCCTCTGGCGCAGACAGTGACCACACTGCGTCCTGCGCGACTTCACCAGACATTGACCGCACCCACGTGAGCGAGCCTCGATAGACGGCCATCAAGTGTTGCGGAGCAGATCAATTCTACCAGGGATGTTGCTAACTCAGGGTGAGTGTTTTTGGTATTTGTGGTTGTGGCTGTCTCACATAGATAGTTATTTCATTTCACATAGACACTTATTTCACATAGACACTTATTTCACATAGACACTTATTTCACATAGACAATAATCTAACAAGATATGTATTTCACATAAACACTCATTTCACATAGACACTAATCTCACAAGATATGCATTTCACATAGACACTTATTTCACACATGTACCCACACAACTATGAATAGCAACATATAAACACATAACCACACATGCCCAAACATAACTACATATTTTTTTTTTAATATTCACACAACAGATTTTGTATCACATATCAGTAAAAAAAATTACACACGTTTACATCACCATAACATATCTGACCATATATTTCCAAATTACCACGCATCTTCATATTATGATGTCTGTGTTCACATTACCACATATATCAACATTACTGCATACATCCACATTAATGCACACATCAACATTACCGCATACATCAACATTACTGCTTACATCAACATTACCATACGTATCAACAATACCATATGTATCAACATTACCATATACATCAACATTACCACATACATCAACATTACTGCATACATCCACATGATTGCACACATCAACATTACCACATACATCAACATTACTGCTTACATCAACATTACCATACGTATCAACAATACCATGTATGTATCAACATTACCATATACATCAACATTACCACATACATCAACATTACCACATACATCAACATTACCACATACATCAACATTTCCACATACATCAACATTACCACGTACATCAACATTGCCACATACATCAACATTACTATATACCACATGCAAAAACATTACCCCATACATTAACATTACCACATACATCAGCATTACTGCATACATCAATATTACTGCAAACATCAATATTACCGCATGCATCAATATTACCGCATACATCAACATTACCACATACATCAACATTAGCACATACGTCAACATTACCACATACATCAACATTACCACATACATCAACATTACCACATACATCAACATTACCACATACATCAACATTACCACATACATCAACATTACCACATACATCAACATTACCATATGCATCAACATAACCCACATACATCAACATAA